CCCACAGGGAAAATTTGGCAGGCTCCAAAGCCCACTGAGATAGCCAAAATGGTGAAACAAAGAAACAAATGCCAAATGAAAGAACAAGAGACCTCTACTGAAGATGAGATAAATGAGGTGCAGTTAAGCAAGTTAACAGAGCTAGAATTCAGAGCCATGATCTTGAGGAAGCTCAACAGCACGAGTAAGGACATCAACACCATGAGTAAAGACATAGAAATGTTGAAAATCAACCAATTGGAAATTAAAAACTACCAGAAAGAAATGAAGAATGACACATCAGAAATAAAGAACACATTGGAAGGACTAAACAGCAGAGTAGAAAAAGCTGAGGACCAGATCAGTGAATTAGAAGACAGGGTAGAAAAAATCAACCAATCAGAAAACCAAAAGGAAAAACAATTAAAAACAGGAAGACAGCTTAAGAAAACTGTGGGACAACTGGAAACATATTCACATCATAGGAGTCCCCAAAGAAGAAAATGAGCAAGGGTTAGAGAATATATTTGAAGAAATAGTGACAGAAAACTTTCCTAACTTGGTGAAGGAAGAAGGCATTCAAGTTCAAGAATCACAGAGAGCCCCAACTAAGAAGAACCTAACCAGGCCCACACCAAGACACATAGTAATTAAAATGCCAAAAGTTAAAGACAAAGAGAGAATCCTAAAGGCAGCAAGAGATAAGCAACAGGTTACCTACAAAGGAAACCCTGTAAGGCTCTCAGCTCACTTCTCAACAGAAACACTACAGGCCAGAAGGGAATGGCACAAAGTAATCAAGGTCATGAAACAAGAATCTGAATCTAAGAGTACTCTACCCAGCAAGGCTATCATTCAAAATAGAAGGTCAAATAAAAAGCTTCCCAGACAAAAAAAAAAAAAAAAAAAAAAAAGGCTAGGGGGATACATCAGCACCAAACCAGCACTGCAAGAAATGTTAAAAGGACTGCTGTAATTAGTAGAAGAAATAGGAAGAAAAATAGAACCACACTAAACAAAAATGGCAATAAATAAGTACATATCAATAATCACCTTAACTGTAAATGGATTGAATGCCAATAAAAAGACACAGAGTAGCTGATTGGATAAGAAAGCATGACTCATGTATATGTTGTTTACAAGAGACCCACCTCACAACAAAAGACTCAAATAGGTTGAAAGTGAAGGGATAGAAAAAAATCTTCCAAGCAAACGAAAAGGAAAAAAAGCTGGGGTAGCAATACTCATATCTGATAAAATAGATTTCAAAATGAAGACCATAACTAGAGACAAAGAAGGCCACTATATAATAATGAAAGGATCTATCCTATAGGCAGCTATACCTTGATAAACATATATGCACCCAATATAAGAGCACCAACATATATTAAAAATCTTCTGGAGGACTTCAAAGGAGAAATCTACAGCAATACAATCATAGCAGGGGACTGCAACACCCCACTGACATCACTGGATAGATCCTCTAGACAAAAATTAGCAAGGAAACAGAGATTCTAAATGAAGCACTAGACCAAATGGATTTAATAAATATCTACAGAGAATTACACCCCAAAACTGCAGAATTCACATTCTTCTCAAGTGCACATGGGACATTCTCAAAGACAGACCACATATTAGGGCACAAACTAAGTCTGTAAAAGTTCAAGAAGATTGAAATCATATCAAGCATCTTCTCAGATCACAATGGCATGAAACTAGAAATCAACTGCAACAAGAACATGCAAAGACATGTGAACACATAGAGGCTAAATAGCATGTTATTAAACAATGAATGGTTTACCGAGGAGATCAAGGAAGAAATTAAAAACTTCCTGGAAACCAATGAAAATGAACACACAACAACACAAAACCTATGGGATGCAGCAAAAGCAGTTCTGAGCCCTGACCGGTTTGGCTCAGTGGTTAGAGCGTCAGCCTGCGGACCACAGAGACCCAGGTTCGGTTCCCGCTAAGGGCATGTACCTTGGCTGCAGTTTGTCCCCGGCCCTGGTTGGGTCGTGTGGGTTGCGGCCACTCGATGTGTCCCTTTCACGTCGAGGTTTCTCTCTCTTTCTCTCTCTCCTTCCCTCTCTATCTGAGTAAAAAATGGAAAAATGTCCTCGGGTGAGGATAAAAAAAAAAAAAGCAGTTCTGAGAGGGAAGTTCATAGCACTACAGGTCTACCTCAAGAAGCAAGAAAAATTTGTAACATACTATCTAACCTCACAACTTAAAGAACTAGAAAGCAAACAAAGAGAAAACCCCAAAGCAAGTACAAGGAAGGAAATAGTAAAGATCAGAGCAGAAATAAATGACATGGAGACCAAAAAAACAATTCAAAGGATCAATGGAACAAAGAGCTGTCAGAATGGCCGCCATCAACAAATCATCAAACAACAAGTGTTGGCGAGGGTGTGGAGAAAAGGGGACTCTAGTACACTGCTGGTAGGAATACAAACTGGTGCAGCCACTATGGAAAACATTATGGTGTTACCTCAAAAATTAAAAATTGAATTGCCATTTGACCCAGTGATCCCACTTCTAGGAATATACCCTAAGAAGCCTGAAACACCAATCAGAAAGAATATATGTACCCCCATGTTCATAGCAGCACTATTTACAATTAGTAAGATCTGGAAACAGCCCAAGTGTCCATCAGTAGATGAATGGATAAAAAAGCAGTGGTACATATACACAATGCAGTACTATGCAGCTGTAAGAAAGAAAGATCTCTTATCCTTTGAGACGACATGGAGGGACCTGGAAAGTATTATCCTAAGTAAAACAAGCCAAGCAGAAAAAGACAAGTATCATATGATCTCACTTATTTGTGGAATATAATGAACATAACAGTCTGAGGAATAGGGTAGACCCAGAGATGTGGAAGTAGGGTACAAACTGACAACCCTCAAGAGAGGGGGTGGGGGGGGAGGGAAGAGATAAACCACAGAACTTATATGTATGTACGCATAACCAATGGACATGGACAACAAAGCCAGGGATGGTGTGGGGGGATGAGTAGGAAGATGTCAATAGGGAAAAAAGGAGAAACATCTGTAACAAAAATAAAATTAAAAATAAATAAATAAAACAAAACAAAAAAAAATCCAAGAATCTGGTGACTGGGTAGAGGTCAGTGTTGGGAAGCTGGGGAGGAAGGAGGTGTCAAGGATGATGATTTCCAGTGTTCCCAGTTGAAGAGATGGGGGTGCCATTTACTGAAAGGAGAAGATGGGGGAAGAACACGTCTATAGGCCTGATGATGAGTTCAGCTTAAGATGTAAGACATTCAGGTGGAGATGCCAAGTAAGACATTCGACAATCAGGTCCAGAGCTCAGAAGAGGCGTCAAACCTGGCAGTTAGACAGCATTTGAAGCCATGGACCCAGGTTTGAGAGGTAGGGAGGAGGAAAGGGGAGGGAAGATACTTGAGTACCAAGGATCATCAGTATCTCCTGTGAGAGCTCTCCATTTCCCGCAGAACATTTGCATGGCAAACCAGGTATTATACCTCATTACTATGTATTGTAATCTCACATTTTAACAGGAATGCATAGACACTCAGTTTTAAATCACTGCACGTAACACAAACTGACATCATTCAGAAGAGACGGAAAAGGCAGTAGGGTCCCAATCACCAACAATGAGCAAGCGACCAGCAGGACAAAAATCTGTGTTTTGCTGAAAAAAGTACTCAACTTGTCTTCTGGAGAAGGTGTTGCAACTGAGACCGCTGTTTTGCACTATTAACCAATGGAACCAACTGAGGGATTCAAGTTAGAAGGACAACCAACCCTGTAGGAAATCCTAAACCTTGCAGAGGCGGTTGCTGAGGAGGCCCAGGGAAGCCTGATGGGCTGTGTTTGAACCACAGGCATCCCTGAACCCTGAGGTTCCCTGGCAGGCCTGGCTTCACTCCCCCTTTCAGCCTCGGTGCCCAGGAAGGCCCTCAACACTCCTTGAACATATCTTTGCTTTCCCACCTCTGTGTGTTTGTTCATGACCTGCGTTGTGCTTCCCCACACCTCCACATCATCTACGTCTTTCCAAGTCTACCTCTAATGTTACCTGATCTCCTCTAGGTGAAATAATTTCTCCCTCTCCAATAGAACCGACTGTTTGTCCCTCTCCAGACACTCACACTTTCTACCCTGAGCTTAGTTATCTGGGTAGATGCCTCACGTTCTCTTCCGGGCTCTGAGCTCCCAGAGGGCTGTGGGCATGTCTTACTTGTTTATATTTCAGACCCCAACCAGTGTCAGAGCCTGCATCAGAGAAGAGGAGGAATGCTGATTTCTGAGGCATTTCTTTTCAGTTGTGACCCGAAGGATGATCATGTCGGGTGATGGTATGAGAAGGGAGCTGGCGAACACTGATGTGTTTCCTTTTGTTCCCATGATAACAGTAAATGGCTCACGAGAACAAGGACTGAGCTATTAACTCTGAAAAATTCCTAAAACATAGGGTACATCCAGAGTCTTGAATTAGTGAATAAAAGGGTAAGAATCGATGCAATAGTTCCTTTTTCATTAATGGTGGGTATTCAAAGACCAAGAAAATGTTAACGTGCATTTCAATCTTCTTCATGGCCTTGGATAGCCACACCGTGCTATGAGCTGGGGACTGATGGTGGCAACCCATGGACACTCCTCTGTCCTAGGTGGGTGGCCTGTCTAGCTTGCTTGCAGCCTACTGTAGTCTAATCACTAGCTCCCCAGAATTATGCTGGCCCCTCCCCCACTTCCTAGTGGGGCTTGTTCCATTACCTGCTGTCTAGCATCTAAGAAGCATCAAGATGTTTTAACTGCTGGCCCAAGATTTGTGAGCCCCTTAAAGACACAAGGGGTCTCCTGGTGAACAGTTACCTATAGCAAGTTTTAAAACTTCACAGTACACATTAAATCCAAGTCAAGATGTTTTAGTATAGAAGAGAACCCAGATGTATGTAAGCCATCGTTCAGATTTGAAGCCGGAATGGTACTGGTAAAATAATAGTGCTCTTTGGCACCATCTGGGCTTACCTCTTTGGTAACACAAGGAAGCTGCTCTGCCAAGTTACAGAACTTCATGGCCTCCTTTGTTTGCTTAAGATCGATGTAACACTAGAAACAGAAAAGAACCAATATTAAAGGTAGTCACATTTTATGTAATGAATTAAAAAGTGATTTAAAATTATCCATCTTCATTACCTTGGCAAGGTACATGTAATTGGACTTAGAAAAACGAGGGTGTAGATCTTCAACCTGATTTTAAGAAAAAACAGAAAAGAGAGAACCAGGGTGATATTAAAGCAAAAATAATGAGCAGTGAAGAGGACATATTTCAACAAATCAAGTATTATTCAAATGGAACCAAACTGCCCCAAGAAGTTAGGCTGGTTGTGTCACATCCGAGTCCTTTGATCAATTTCAAAGTATCCTTTGGGTGCAAATATAGCTTTTTAGCTTATCCATGCAAATAAAATTATTATGGTAATAAAGCTTACAAAGCAATGAGATACTTGAAGGTTTGAGGACTCCTTTGTATAGTCATTTCCTCACTTTCTCTTCTCTATCTTTTCTCTTTCTCCCTTTAGAGAGCAAAAACAACTGGTGACACACTCCCAACCAGCTGAGCCACCCGGCCGGGGCTCAGAAGACTTACTTTTCCACCAAGCGTTCTAGGCAGACACTAGCCACTGTTCAGACATGGAAAATGAAATGAAACTTGGTTCTCATTTTAGACTACAGGATCTCTAAATTTCCTCAGTTCTACAAAATTGATCCTTAAAATACAACCAAGAAAAATCAGCATGTACCATATGTTGAACAATACAGTTCAAAGCCTGATTTTGTTTATATTGTTACAAATCTGAAATTGTAGGTGGGGAAAAACCCTAGTATCTGTAAGATTCTATCTCTGGTTCCAAAGGTAAAGTGATTGGCACAACATAAAGTTGGTTATCTATGTGGGCATAGTACACATTTACATGGGCACACATACACACATTACTGCTTGGAGTTTTATTTTTATAGCAATTAGACATTTTAAGACACAAATGAAAATACTGATTTGGTCTGATTCCCTAAGAACGTTTCACAGAACTGCCTGCAACTTATGGAATGGCTTTTATTTTATTAAAAAAAAATTTTTTTTTTTACTGATTTTAGAGAGAGGAAAGGAGAGGGAGAGAAACATCGATGAGAGAGAACATTGATTAGCTGCCTCCTGCATGCCCCCCACTGGGGACTGGGCCCACAGCCTGGGCATGTGCCCTGATGGGGAATCGAACCAGCGACCTCTTGGTGCATGGGTCGACACTCAACCACTGAGCCACACTGGCCGGGCGTAAGAAATGGCTTTTAAAATAACTCTTCCTTGGCATCTTTCAGTTCTTTATGATTAAACTGTTTCTTTATTAAGGCTAATCAGGACTATTTGGGATCAAGTCTAATAAGCAGGGCATCGGTTCTTTTAATCGTATTCACGTGACCTGGATAGCTGCCCTTGGATTTGGTAGTAAGGGCCGTCGCACCTGGGCCCTAGGGCATACATAACTAGCTGCTCTAAGTGTTTGGATTTAAAACATAACTCACATCATGAGAGGCTTAAAACAGAACTAGGATTCAAACCATCAGAGATCTACACATGGAGAAGAGAAATTTCCTGGGCAGGAAAGACTGATCAGGATAGTGGCTAGTTTGACACTGAAATAATGGATAGACGAAATATACCTTAAGGAAATTTTGCAAAGCTTCTTGTACAGTTGAGGATGGTATTTTTCCAAACAGAGTAGCAGCCATCTTTTTCTCAATCCAGCTCAGTTTTGAGATCTGCAAATATAGAGCAACATCACTCTTAGAAAGTGCTCACGTTTTGAATGAATAATCTCTCCCCAGTTAGATGTTTGTATATGTATCTATGTACATATATGCATACAATATATGTAAATATATATCCATAAATAATATGAGAGATATCAACTTTATGGTATGAATATTTACCTTCCTTTTTCATAATTCAAAAACTATGAACTCTGAATGCATTGGCTACAAAATCAATTTGAAATACTTGTAAGAAGATTTCAAATTGGAGTGGAAGTGGGAAATAATGTCAACCATCTGATTGATGACTTTCAGATGACTGCAAAACATTTCTTGGCACAGAGTGTACTAGCTACAAGACCCTGCCTTTGCTTTCTTCCTGCCTGCTCCGTGCTGCCAACCTGATCCAGAGGGCAGCATCTCAGAAATTTGAACACAGCGAGGATTCTCAAGAGGGTGGTAGAGTGAGGGCCCAATATACATATTTATAATCAGGGAGACGTATTTTTAAACCAATAACCATCAAAATTAAATTCCATATGACAACTTTTTTCTTTAAAATTTTTTTCATTTCCCCCAAATATGAGTTTTAGATGTTTATAATAAAAGAGGAAAAGGATTCAGAAATAAATTTTTTAATATATATATAAAATGGCATCTCCTTGTATTTTTTATTATCATTTCTAATTTCAAGATTTGTTTGTTTGTTTTTTTATGAATTTTTATTTATTTTTTTGTTACAGATATTTTACCTTTTTACCCCATTGGCACCCCCCACCCCACCCCACCTCCACCCTGTCCCCGGCTTAGTTGTCCATGTCCATTGGTCATGCATACATGCATATAAGTTCTGTAGTTTATCTCTTCCCACCACCCCACCACCCCACCACCCCACCCCCTCTTCTGAGGGATGTCAGTCTGTGCCCTACTTCCATGTCTCTGGGTCTACCACATTCCTCAGACTGTTATGTTCATTATGTTCCGTATATAAGTGAGATCATGTGGTATTTGTCTTTTTCTGCTTGGCTTCTTTCACTTAGGATAATACTTTCCAGGTCCCTCCATGTCGTCTCAAAGGATAAGAGATCTTTCTTTCTTACCTCTGCATAGTACTCCATTGTGTGTATATACCACAGCTTTTTTATCCATTCGTCTACTGGTGGACACTTGGGCTGTTTCCAGATCTTAGCTATTGTAAATAGTGCTGCTATGAACATGGGGGTACATATATTCTTCCTGATTGGTGTTTCAGGCTTCTTAGGGTATATTCCCAGCAGTGGGATCACTGGGTCAAATGGGAGTTCAATTTTTAATTTTTTGAGGTAGCACCATATTGTTTTCCATAGCGGCTGCACCAGTCTGCATTCCCACCAGCAGTGTATTAGAGTTCCCTTTTCTCCACACCCTCGCCAACACTTGTTGTTTGATGATTTGTTGATGGCGGCCATTCTGACAGGTGTGAGGTGATACCTCATTGTTGTTTTAATTTGCATCTCTCTGATGATTAGTGATGTTGAGCATTTCTTCATATGTCTTTTGGCCATTTGTATGTCCTGTTTGGAGAGGTGTCTATTCAACTCCTCTGCCCATTTTTTAATTGGGTTCTTTGTCTTCCTTTTGTGGAGTTGTATGAGCACTCTATATATATTGGAGATTAACCCCTTATCTGATACATCATTGGCAATGATGTTCTCCCATACAGTGGGTTGCCTTTCCATTTTGATGATTGTGTCTTTTGCTGTGCAGAAGCTTTTTAGTTTGATGTAGTCCCATGTGTTCATTTTCTCCTTTATTTCTGTTGCCTTAGGTGATGTATCAGTGAAAATTCTGCTCCGTATGATGTCCGAAATTTTGTTGCCTACATTTTCTTCTAGAATCTTTATGGATTCACAGGTCACATTTAAGTCTTTTATCCATTTCGAGTTTATTTTTGTGTATGGTGTAAGTTGATGGTCTAGTTTCATTTTTTTGCATGTAGCTGTCCAATTTTCCCAACACCATTTATTAAAGAGGCTGTCTTTACTCCACTGTATGCTCTTGCCACCTTTGTCAAATATTAACTGAGCGTATTGCCTTGGGTCCATTTCTGGGTTTTCAGTTCTGTTCCACTGGTCTATATGCCTGTTCTTGTGCCAGTACCAGGCTGTTTTGGTTACAGTCGCTTTGTAGTATAACCTGATATCTGGTATTGTGATCCCACCTACTTTGTTCTTCTTTTTCAAGATTGCTGTGGCTATTCGGGGTCTTTTTTGGTTCCATATGAACTTTTGAAGTATTTGTTCTAGTTCTATGAAATACGTCGTTGGTATTTTGATGGGGATTGCACTGAATCTATAGATTGCTTTGGGTAGTATGGACATTTTAATGATGTTAATTCTTCCAATCCATGAACAGGGTATGTGCTTCCACTTTTTTATATCTTCCTCTATTTCTTTTTTCAATGACCTGTAGTTTTCTGCAAATAGGTCCTTTACTTCTTTGGTTAAGTTTATTCCTAGGTATCGTAATTTTTTTGGCGCGATGGTAAATGGGATTGTTTTTTCAGTTTCTCTTTCTGTGAGTTCATCAGTGGTGTACAAGAATGCCGTCTATTTCTTGACGTTAATTTTGTATCCTGCTACTTTGCCAAATTCATTTATTAAGTCTAATAGATTTTTGATGGAGTCTTTAGGGTTTTCTATGTACAATATCATGTCATCTGCAAATGACAGTTTCACTTCCTCCTTTCCAATTTGGATCCCTTTTATTTTTTCTTCATGTCTGATTGCTGTGGCTAAGACTTCCAGTACAATGTTAAATAAGAGTGGCGAAAGTGGACAACCCTGTCTTGTTCCTGTTCTTAATGGAAATGTTTTTAGTTTCCGTCCATTGAGTATGATGTTGGCTGTAGGTCTTTCATATATGGCCTTTATTATGTCGAGATATGATCCCTCTATTCCTACATTGCTGAGCGTTTTTATCAGAAATGGATGCTGGATTTTGTCGAATGCCTTTTCAGCATCTATTGATATGATCATGTGGTTTTTATTCTTCATTTTGTTTATGTGGTGTATCACGTTTATTGATTTGCGAATATTGTACCAGCCTTGCATCCCTGGAATGAATCTCACTTGGTCATGGTGAATAATTTTTTTGATGTATTTCTGGATCCGATTTGCTAATATTTTGTTCAGGATTTTGGCGTCTATGTTCATCAGGGATATTGGCCTGTAGTTTTCTTTCTTTGTAGTGTCTTTTTCTGGTTTTGGAATTAGAATTATGCTGGCTTCATAGAACGTGTTTGGAAGTCTTCCTTCTTCTTGAATTTTTTGAAAGAGTTTGTGGAGAATGGGTGTTAGTTCTTTTTTGAATGTTCGGTAAAACTCCCCCATGAAGCCATCTGGGCCTGGGCTTTTGTTTGCTGGGAGAGTCTTGATTACCTCTTCAATTTCCTTAGTTATTATTGGTCTGTTCAAGTTTTCTATCTCTTCCGGGAATAGTTTTGGGAGACTGTGTGTTTCTAGAAATTTGTCCATTTCGCTTAGATTGTCGAATTTGTTGCCATATAGTTGTTCGTAGTAGTTGTTAACGATCTTTTGTATTTCCGTGGTGTTGGTTGTTACTTCTCCTCTTTCATTTCTGATTTTGTGTATTTGGGTTCTCTCTCTTTGTGTCTTGGTGAGTCTAGCTAAGGGTCCATCAATCTTGTTTATCTTTTCGAAAAACCAGCTCTTTGTTTCATTGATCTTTTGAATTGTTTTTTTGGTCTCTATGTCATTTATTTCTGCTCTGATCTTTACTATTTCCTTCCTTCTACTTGCTCTGGGGTTTTCTTTTTGTTTGCTTTCTAATTCTTTAAGTTGTGAGGTTAGACAGTCAATTAGAAATTTTTCTTGTTTTTTGAGGTAGGCCTGTAGTGCTATTAACTCAAGATTTGTTTTTAAGTTCTAATTTAATTGCATTATGATGAAAAAGCCTGTATGATAGCAATTCTTTGAAAAGTATTAAGACTTGCTTTATGACCTCATATATGGTCAATTTCGTAAACATTCTACATGTGCTTCAGAAATGTGCATCCTCCAATGGTTAGGTATATATTTTCATAAATGCTTATTAGATCAAAGTTATTAAATGTGAGGCTCCAATGTTTACACAATTACTAATACTTTTTTTGTCTTCTTGTTCTATTCGTTACCAAAAGTGGTAGGTGAAAATTTACTACTGTGTGGTGTCCTTACTTACCTACCATGTATTTTTCTCTCTCCTTCGTATTTTCCATCCTTTTGTTCTTCTATTCTGCATTTCAGGTAACTTTTTCAGATTTATCTTACAGTTTGCTATTTCTCTCTTTAGTGGTGCCCATCTACTGCTACAACTTGCATTGAGTTTTCTTCGAGTGCCGAATAACATACTTTTATATCAAAAATTGTTTCATCTTGTCAAATCTACTTGGTCATTTTTATAGTCTCATGCTCTTTATCCGTTTCCCCTCATAATTCCTCTTATTTCAAAAAACACATTAGATAGGTAGCTATTTAAGGTCCTGTATTCCATGTTTCCAAAATCTTAAGTCCTTTTAGAACTATTTCTGTTCTTTTGTTGTTTCTGCTGATTGTCATCCCTGATGGCTTATTTCTTACATATCGCATTATTTTTTACGGTGAGCTCATCATTGCTGGGCCACTCTGCATAAGTGTTAGAAGGCCCGTGTGAAGGTACGTTCCTCCAGGGGGGGTCAGCATTAGCTTCTGCCATGTGTCTAAGGCATGAAAAGCAGGTTCCATTCTGCATTAACATTTCCTTCTTGGGTTTTTGAAGCCTAAACAAATCATATGTATTCAAGTTCCAGACTCATGCAAGGTTGGGTCAATGGTTTTTAAACCTTAGGGGAGTCTCCTACCTTCATGAAGACTCAGATTCTTAATACTTAAAACTAGCATGATAAAAACTGCTAATAAGAGATTTGAGAAAATTGTAATTATTAGAGCTGTTGTAGGATTATTTGAGATAAATGTAAAGCATAAAATGCATATCTGATGTGTAGCAGGTGTTCAGTAAAAGCAAGCTTCCTTCTTCATCCCTAATCCTCTTCAAGCCTCATATTTAAAGTTTCCTTTTTTGCTTGCCCTGATTTTCTCATTCAGAAATAGCATTTCTCTTCATCGTACCTTTTTTCATGCATCTCTTAAGACATATTTTCACATTCTGTTAATTTTCCACAAACTAATGTCATTTAAGACACTCAGTCTTAGACTTACCAGCTACATTTATTTCTTTATGTCTCATGTCCCTTTCTAAATTAAGTTTTTGAACACAAGGACAGTGTTTAATTTATCTTCTGGCTAGTGAGCACATAATTTATCCTCAGTCAACTCTGAATGAAAAGAGTCCAGCCCTGGTCGGTTTGGCTCAGTAGTTAAGGTGTCAGCCTGCGGACCAAAGAGTCACAGATTCCATTCCAGTCAAGGGCACGTACCTCGGTTGTGTTTTGGTCCCCAGCCCTGGTGGGAGTCGTGTGGGAGGCAACCAATCAGTATGTCTCTCTCACGTGGATGTTTCTCCCTCCCTCTCTCTCTTTCTCTCCCCCTCGCCTCTCTCTCTTTCTCTCCCCTCCTTCTCTGCCTCCCTCCCTCCCACTATATCTGAAAATAAATGGAAAAATATCCTCCAGTGAGAATTTTAAAAAAAGTCCCCCCACAAATCAGAGAGTAAGTAGTGCACCAATACAGGCCACATGTGTGCAGGTGGCTGATGACCTTCCGAGAGAGCAGAGAGAGAGAGACAGTGTGCCTGCTACAGGGGGAAATAGAAAGGCAGTAAAGGAAGAAAATACACAACATACTTACATAAAATCATATAAATAACATAATATATAAATAATACAACATAAATATACCAACTCATTAAATTTGAATTGTTTTTATCTATTTCCCTATAGTAGGAACTAGGTAAAACAATAAAAGAATGAGTAAGTCAATGAAAATATATCATACAATCAGAGTACATTTAAATAAGATTTATAGATAAAAGCATTCAACTTACAGCATAACAGTATCTTCCATTGAGGTAATACAAAAAAGGTTCTTCAGGTAATAATTGGATTGCTTTATCTAGATGTTCCTGAAAGAAAATCCCAAAGAAGTATCATCTCCCAAGGTTTCAAGTAGTGCTGAATGGAACTGTGCCTAGTCAATTCAAAGGAACTTTACAATGTTGTTTTCTCCTCCCCCGCAATCCCTATCATTAGTACAATTAATTATTATCAATAATTCTTTATCAAAAATGATTACTCTGGTCCTGGCCATTGTGCTCAGTGGTTAGAGCCCATGTACCAAAGGGTCACAGGTTCCATTCCCCATCAAGGGCATGTACCTAACTGCAGGTTTGATCCAGGGCCTCGGTCAAAGTGCGTGTGGGAGGCAGCCAATCGATGTGGATCTCTCACATCGATCTCTCTCTCTCTCTCTCTCCACCTCGATTCCTCCTTCCCTCCCTTTAAATCTCTCTAAAAATCAATGAAAAAAATATCCTCGGGTGAAGATTAACCAAAAAAAAAAAAAAAGGAAGATTGCTCAGAACTAGAACCAGAATTGTGACTATGATTTAATAAGGCAACAGATAATTTAAAGCCAAAATGTCACTATAAAACCAGAAAACACCCAGTCACATTATTGTCTGCCCATGACTTACTTAGCTAATACTTGATTCAGAGGCAAGCTTACAAATATCAAATGATTAGGGTATAATGGAGGGAAAAATAGCAGAACTGGATGGTAGAGGAATCTACTCTCCTGACATCATCAAATGGCTACAAGGGCTGGGATAAAAAGAACTCTGCCTATCATTATAATTACTGAGCCTGAAGGATTATTTATTGAGCTATTTTAACTAGAGGCACATTATGAATGATGTGTTTTACATTACTTATTTTATTCATCTACCATGGTAATTTTAAGCTCTAGATTGGATTCTACTCCTCCTGAAAATCAATATGCAGAAAATGTTAACTAATTAGTCCAGTCATGTTTACGGTATTGGTGAGCTCATGAGCCACAGGCTAATCCTCTATCTTTGAAAAAATTAAACTCGTTTACTATATGACTTCTTTCCGTATCTAGAATAATAATAATCTTTAATCACCCACATAGTTTGATTCCTTTTGGCACAGTAGTATTTGAAGAATGCCATTTCAGCTCAGTGGTTGAGTGTTGACCCATGCACCAAGAGGTCACCGGTTTGATTCCTGGTCAGGGCACATGCCCAGGTTGTGGGCCTGATCCCCAGTGGGGGGCATGCAGGAGGCAGCTAATCGATGTTCTCTCTCATCGATATTTCTATTTCTCTCTCCCTCTCCCTTGTGCTCTCTCTAAAAATCAATAAAGAAAAAAAAATACTTTTTAAAAAAGGATGCCATTTCATTTAAATAAAAAAGATAAATTCCTAGAGATTAATTTGTTGAATAATTTGATTTAGACCTGTTAATGAAACATGTGGCTACATTAAAACATTTTTTTTGGCCTGCCCCAGCCCAAAACATTTTTACTATCAAGGAATACCTTGAAGCGATGTCCATAGTTGACTTTGTTTTGTAAGCCCTCAAACTCAGATACATAGCCACACAAAACTGCATACCTGAAAAAGGTAAAAACAGTGGATATTGTTTGAACTTTTATTCAAATACCATCAAATAAAACACTTAAAAAATGTCTCTGAAGCAGTCATGAATATTTAACAAAGTATTCATGTATATGGAAGGGCCCTAAAAATAATGAATACTTGACATTAATGTGTAGCCATTTTTCCCATCTATAACTAGGGTACTAACACCATCTACCTCATATGCATGCTGTGAGGGTAAACATCAGAAACATGTAATTGCTAAGAATACCACCTGCATATAGTGAGTTTCAAGAAATGTTAACTACCATCATCACCATCATCAACATTAAAGTCACAAAGAGGTTCAGAAAAAATCTAATCGCACATTAAATAGAAAATATATTGTATCAACAAATCCCTGCTTCTTCTTTAATAAGAATAAAAATTTCATGGCCTCCTTTAATGTCATTTGAAAATAAAAGTAAATATCATGACTAAAACAAAATGAAGTCGAAGGTAATTTTAGAATATGCTTTTTCTTCTGAAATGTTCTCTGTCATTCTGTTCTATCGTTCCTCCCAAAGAGTTCCAGCATGTGGAGCAGAGTCCCACACCACTGCATCTCCAGACGCCCCCTTGTTGTAATGGATACTATAACTTATTTGAACTTAAAACCTCAGGGCGCTTTTTAAACAATACACTTTTATTTTAAAATAGCTTGTGATTTACAGGAGAGTTGCAAAGATAGTACAGAGTTCCCATACACCCATATCCAGTTTTCTCTATTGTTTACATCATACATTACTATAGTATATTTATCACAACCACACCAATATTGACATGCAATAATGACATGCAATACATTATTTAATAAATTATTAACTGGACTCCACTTCATTCAAATTTCCATCTGTTTTTCCCTAATGTCCTTAAATTTTTACATTTTCTCCCCATGCCTCCTTCCATATTTATTCCTATTAATTAACATATTGCTCAGTATCTTTTAACATGTGAAAATATTTTGAATTACTACTGTTATCCATTATACACCCTGTTCCTCTTAATTTGTTATTTTGTAACTTTTATAAGTATACCTTCTATATCTTCACCCACTGACAAAATTACTAAACACTCTAGTGTCTAAAGTGTAGACCTAGAACTCTAGAATCACGTCCAAGTTGACAGTGATATTGCCAATAGTTATTCTGTGGAATGACTGAGGCCCAAGCCCTCCTGTCAGCATGGAGAGCCCAGAAGCTTGCCCACATTTCTACATTTTGTTCACAAGAATTTTAGGAGTGAACTGGCCTTAATGCCTTACTTAAATCCAGATATACTAGCTCCATTTCCCTACTCTACCTATTTGCAAAGAAATTTTAAAAAGATCATGTCACAGTTTTAGAAAATCTATGTCAAGTCTATTTGAATGTCCTTATGCAGAAATTCACAAAACAACTCTACTAACCATCAGTGCTGGAATCAAAGGAAAAGATTCTGTGTTCACTGATCTACAGGGGTGGAATCAATCTTCTATTTTCTGAAACTGAGAATTACTTATGTTCAGGCTTTTATAGTGCTCTCAGCACATTCTCTCCAAGTTACTCTGAGTAAAGAAAAAACCTGTGATTTATGAATATCATTATATAAAATATGTACATTTTCCCTTATAAATAATCTGTCACTAGAGTCTTATGTTTTTCATAACCCTTTTTTGAAGTCTGCTTCTTTAAAGTCTAAAATCATATTCATCTCCCTACATATAAATTCAAAGTCCACCTGACCATCTTTCCCTAGAGGATCATCACTTCTTTTCCGGCAATCAATTCCAACTAAGTCTCGGAGTGTGTACAGTTGTTTTTGATATTGTTCATCTTTAAAAATGTAATTTAAAATTTTATTTCCTAAACTCTCAAGTTGATGGAAACGCTGAAGAAAATTAATTCACAGCATGGTCTATTACCTCCATCTAGAGGTCATTCTAACCACATGCATTTTGACAAAAAAATCTGTATTTTATTGCCGTTGATATTGAATATATCTTTAATAATCAACAAACATTCTTCTTTCAACAACTACTAATACAACTCCATTAGTTTCCCTGCAGCACTGCTGACTAAGCATGAATCCTATTTATACTGTGAGAAAGAATAATGTTAATAGAATACCGAGTATTTAAGAATATAAAATCTGCCTTTGTTTTGCCAGTTATTGTGTGAACCTTGGTTACTAATGTATACATCAACACACACACACACACACACACACCGCCTTGCTTACCCTCTCTATAAAATGAAAAAAGGCTGTCTGTGAATCACATGCTAGGAGGCGTGTGGATATAATTTGTGAACAGTAGAGCACAACAAATATGTAAGACATTATTTATAATTAAGGTCAGGCCAATTTGGCTAACAAACTGCAAATCCTTGGTGGTTTTAGTCTCTTGATTCCAGAAAAGAAAGCTTGTGTAGCCTTAAAGTTACAAAGCAATTTCATTCTGGAAAAGAGGAAGATGAAAGGCAAGTCTTTCAAATAATATTGTTTTTCAATTATTCCCTCAATGTTAATCTTTCATGATAATTATTCCTAAAGAGTGCATCTTTTACCTCAAAATGAAAGCTTATACGTCATCACACAACCCTGTAAAACATGGGTCTGCAAACTTCGGCTGCAGGGCGAGCTAGCAGACATGTTAGACTTGGGGGTCAGAGAGCATCTGTTGCAACTATTCAACTTCGTCACTAGGCACAATGCAGGGGTGAAGCTGTGCTCCAGTAAAACTTTACTTCAAAAAGAAGGTAGTTGGATTTGGTCTGTGGGTCATAGTTTGTCATTTGTGCTATTTGAATGAGACAATGTCTTAATATACTAACAAAGATTGTAGCGGACTAAGACCTTTTCACTATATTTTATTTTAATTAATAATGAAATTGGTAGACCTAAATTTTACCCCTTGCTTCTCAAACCAAGTTTTAATTTCTCTTTTTTTCATCACCCTAAAACTCTACTATTTATATGAATGTGAACACTTGTATTCAGGGGATACAGTATAATCCATTCCAAGAATTTAGATAAAATTGACATTTGAATTTGTTAAATTATAATCAACTGATTAGATTTTGTTATTCTAATTAAAAGCTGATAACAAATAAATCATGTGAAGCACAATTAGACCTTTACTGTGGGTATGTGTTGATGAGATTTAACCTTGGGATTCAAGCCCATGGTTATAAAGGCAGCATTTAGTTCACAACAAAAAGTGAAAAGAGATAAACAAAGGAGAAGTAGCCAGAGTGGTAGATGAGACGAGGCAGCCCACTCAGAAAGAGGTAAGCATAATCGGTCATCACAAGATGGATTTCTCTGTAGTTATGAAGCCCTCAGAGAAGAGCCAACATTTTCCTCTATGAAAATGTGGAAGCTCACACTGATAAATGTCCTCCAATGTACATTTTAATGTGATTCTTCGTGGATGCAGATGCGGTATGGGAGAAGGAAGAGGAGAGCAGAGGACAAGCAAACAGGAGGAGAAGAAAGACGAGGAGGAGGAATAGCTTAGTTAAGAATAGAAGCCGGGCGTTCTTTCTGCACCTAAATCTAGCTAATCAGCTCCCAAATACCTCTAATTTCAAAGGAGATGGAGAGAGTGTGGCTTGATCAGCATAAATTCATTACTCTTACTATCACAAGTGGAAGAACAGAGGTACCTAGTGTAAACATGTTAATTTATTAATATTAGTATTATGCAAATTAGATGAGAAAGGTAAAGTTGGCTATATAAATAATAGCCAAGACACTTATATACTGGCGACATTATCATAAAGATTTATACCAGGACATTAGCTGCAAATTATCTTTCTCTTAGAGATTTGGCAGAGGCATCAAGGATACAGAACAATACTTTTATCTATTAGGTACTCCAATTCCTAAAGCAAGATACTCTACAACCCATGCATGATATGCTAAGGAAATAATTCACAGATTCTGCCAGGCTTACCCTTCACCCATCTCCAGGCTATTTAAGAGAAGGCAAAGAATTCACAGTGGGAGGAAGACACCTGGGGTGAGATTTCTGTGAATAGAAGTGTTAGAGCACTGTGGAGTCCACTTCTCACCTTCCTATGAAGGGCAGAGGGTAGTCTTACATCTCATATTATGCCAAGTAAGGGCAGCTTCAAAAGACCTCTTCTTGCCCTGGTCGGTGTGGCTCAGTTGGATAAGTGTCATCCTATGCACCTAAAGGTCACAGGTTTGATTCCTGGCCCGGTACATGCCCAGGTTGCAGGATCCCTAGTAGGGGGTGTGCAGGAGGCAGCTGATTGATGTTTTTCTCTCTCTCCTTTCCCTTCTTCTCTCTCTCTAAAATCTATCTATATCTATATCTATATCTATATCTATATCTATATCTATATCTATATCTATATCTATATCTATATCTATATCTATGTATGCTTTTTTAAAAGACCTGTTCTTATTTGGTATGTGTCCCTTGTTATTTAGGGGACATAAAAAAAATTACCTGACTTCTGCCCAGGGAAGTTTTAAGATGAGAGTTTGTGGGTGGAGCCCTCATGCCCCTGCTTGGTGGCAGAGTAAAGAAACAGGTCTGCTTTGGGGACACTGTGTGTCCTCCCAGAATTGGTGAGGCAAAATGACTTCCCTGGGGGACAAATGTGGACCTGGGTTAAGGAAGCCATTTGGAGAGAGAGTTTGCCTGAGAGTGCCCCAGAAGCATAAGATAATCTCGAAGAAGGGTGGATTTCTGGAAACCTAGGTCTGACAAAAGGCTCATAAATTAACTTATTACTGTATCTTCCTAGCACCTAAAGTACCTGTATTGCTAGGAAGAAAAAAAAAACAAACCTAAAAATTGCAACAAGTAAAAGGAATGTTGATTCAAAACAATATATTTCTTCTTATTTGTGTTTTATAAATCTATACATATGAAAGATTCAAAACAAAACATATAGTACTCAAGAATAAATTTATTTGCCACAAGGATATTCAACTATACCCATTCTACTAATTAAGTATCCTTTGTTTGAGTTTTTTAATATTATAAATGGCTTTTCCTTGACCTGTGGAATTTGTATACCTTGACTCATCAAGGTATAAGAAATAGTTGAAATGCTTTTATTCTTTGAAGCATTCTTTCTACATTTCATTTAGAAACACAACTTCATTTCAGTATTTGTCTTCAAACAAAATGTTAAATTCGTTTTAATTAGAATTTGTCAAATTCAAAGCCACTGGTCTTGGTAGATTCACTTATGAAATCTTCAATGAAAGTTTACCTTAAATATATTTAAAATATACATAATGATAAATACATGAGAATAAACAGAACAAGAACAGTTATTGTTAGCTACTAAATACACTTTTCAGTGAACGTGACAGACGAGTTAACTGGGTCGATCATATTTTTTAAATGCCATTGCAATTCACAGATGTTAATTGTTAAAAGTATGTTAGACTTTTAAAAGACTGCATAAATTCTATGTACTTACCACAGATGACAATGTCCATTCATGGGTGCTCTAGTAACAGCTTTTTCAGCTAATGTCTTTCCTGAAAGATAAATGTACTTATACTTAGTAACCTCATGTGAGTTGCTGGAGGGTAGATTACTGAATTAAATTAGTGGTTTCCAAAGTGTGGTCCCAGGACCAAATCCATCACTTGGAAACTTGGTAGAAAGCAAATGTTTGGCCACATAGGAGACTCACTTGATCACAAACTCCGGGACTCGGCAATGTGTTTTAATGAGCCACTGTGATTGTGATGTATGCTCAAGTTTGAGACTCACTGGACTAAGTAATTCAACCAAGGGCAAGAAAAGCCATTCAATCATTACTTAACAGCATTAATAGAAATTGTTTTGTAATTACCAACATCTGCTGAGTGCCTGCCTTCTACATGTCATATTATATGAGCCTCTGGGAATGAAAAGTCAAGTGACAAACAGTTCTTGAATTCCAAGGGCTCACAGTTCAATCAAATTACATGCAAAACATAACAGCAAGGCAAAAAAAAAAAAAAAAGCACAGCAGAGAACAGAGTGAGTAACTATCTAAAAGGGTAAGGGAAGGCTGCCCAGAGTTCTCACCTAATCATTCACAGTAATGAACAGGCTCAGTAATAAATAATTCTCCAACATCATTTTACTTAGTTTAGAATAACTTTTAATAATGCAATAATTACATTGGATAGAGGTTTGTCTATTGGCTTGAAAAATCCAAATGCTTGCAACAAAGCTGAACTGCATTCTGAAAATCTTTCTCAATATGTAGATGTTTTATTTTATACCATCTCTGTTTTTTGCTGCTCCATTTTTTGCCTTGGAAAGAATATCCAATGACTCACACAAAGTCCTTCTAAATACATAGTTGAGCTAATCTTTATAAATCTTTATAAAAGTTATTCTCCTATTTGTTAATTGGTTAGGGTAGTACTTTGTAGCTCTATCCATTAAGAAAACAACTTTGTGTAGAAATCTCCATAAACTGAAAACTTTTCTAAAGTGAAGTATTTTAATAACTGATATTACATTGTGGACACATATTAGAAGAGTTAATAATTTGTAAATGATTGAAAAGCATAAATACTTTTTAATGTGCAAACAATACAACAAAATCAGCATTGTAGCTATGTTGCTAAATGAACAGAAACAGCTTTTAGTACACTGCAAGCCTTCAGTGGAGGAGAGCCCGTCACTCTGAGAATATAAAAGGAAGCTGGGTGGTATACAGAGTGGATTCACAGCCTCATTTACACAGCCCCAGTCTGAAAGGAAAGCTATTTCCCTTACAAAATTGTACTTGGTGACCGATTTGAGACATTTGGGCCGATCGCTGAATTCTGGAAATGATAATACTGTTCCTTTAGATATAAGATTCACATTTTATAAGTAATACAAGTTATGATCAATCACAGTACTCCAAAAGACGTCCCGCATAATGTATCCCCTGCTCTGAGTTTTATGGAAGAATTCTGCACTCTCTGGTAAGCAAATCTTCCCTCGGATAAGCATTTCAACATTCTATTATGAGAAATAACATTCGGCATTCTTCCGCCTTCATCCTGAGTCCCAGTGTCCCTCAGTGGCTGATCTCAGCTCCAGCGTCCTTTGTCATCACCAAGCACCTCCCACCTCTACACTGAATGGCAACTGGCTGTCTCCACAGTGTTCTATGTAGTAAGCTCCTTAGTGTCGCATCATCTCACATTTATGTCCTCCCTTCTCTCCCTCCTCCCCTTCCTTCACCCTTCATTGCTCCTGGACAAAGTAATTTTGAAATGAATATTTCTTAAATGGATTAAATAAGCTATTCTTTTTCATTTATTTCAATACCTAAATGAATATATCTGAGGCTTCACTCCTTTTTCTTTGACACATAAACTTCTTCTCTTGCTTTGAATACATCCTACTCCAATCTATGCTCCATTCTTCCCCAAATTTCCTCCAGCCTATTTCTTTTCCCATTTCACCATCTCATACACTAACTCAATTAAACTCCCACTCCATTTTCAGACAGAGACCCAAGTCATCGTACCTGCGTGAAACCATGACTTCCCTAGGACAGACCTCCCTGCATCAGCACCCACCCCACCATCATATCCTCCTGTGATACCCTCTCTGCACACCTGCCTTCTTCTTCACTAACAACTTTTTTCAGTTTGTTTCTTTGTGTGTGTGATTACTTGAATAGCACTGCCTCCCCCACCAAGCCGTAAGTTCCTCTGCAGCCAGAGAACACGCCTATTTTGCTATCATCATTCCACCTTGAAACACAGAAGGAGACCTAATGCCCAGGGCAGGGAAGGTGATTAAGAAAAAAAGAAAAAAAGTATTTAAAATTGATGAATCTTGGACCAGTTTACATTGATACACTGATTTTTCTCCGTAGATATAAAATATCAGTTTGTCTTCTTTGGCTAAATTTTTGTTGACCTTCAAGTTAATAAGTCCCTTCCCTAAAATTCCATTTTGTTTATGGCCTGCAAGATGAATTGTTGTGGAGAAACTGCCCCACAGAGCTGATGATGAAGATGTGAGAGAGGGGGATTCCTCCCACCCTCCTCCCACTGAGAGAGAATATCAGTGCAGAGGTCAACTGGCAAGGAAATCTACCCATGGGAGAAATGTGATTACAGGAAGTTTGGAAATATTTCCTTCTTGGAAATAAAAATGACAGAAAAAGAGACTGGAAGGAGATGTTTCTTCCTCATGCTCTCTTAGCGAGGAAAGCTCGGGAAGGGGAGGGCTTCAGAATAAAAGAATTAAAAAGTCAAATTATTACCCTGAAGCTCACAGAGATAGCAGTCAAGGGGCGTTTTGCAAGAAAGGGTTTTGTTGTTCAGTGAGAGTCAAGGTGAATATGTATGTACGTGACATTATTCTGGCTGGTTTTCTTTTGTTGTTGTTATGGTTCAAAAATATGCAAAAGAGTACAGAGGACAGTATAAAGAACCACCATGTACTCGCCACAGCTAAAACAATTATCAGCTCAAGGCTAATCTTGTTTTATTAAGATAAATTCTGAAAAAACACACTGAAATCTGAGTAACTGTCTCTTTGTGGCAGCTGGAGCTCTCCGTTACCAGAAGCAGGAGCGTTACTTGAGCTGTGGTGAAAGACTACTGTTGACAGCAAATGTCTGTTGCCTATTACTGCTTCTCGAAGTGTCATTTCATGTCTCATCTCTCTGTGCTTCTATAAACATTAAAAGCTAAAATCTGAGTTTTTCAGTTGCCTGTTCTAATATGTACTTTAGTTCCCCAAAACCTTTCTTGTCCTTAGACTATGTGTAATTTTCAGTAGCAGAATATACTGAAATAGATACACATATTGGTTTTAGCTCAAATGATTTTGCTTTAATTAAAATTCATTAGTGTTTTCTTACAGGCGATAACTCACTTGAGGATAACCAATCTTTACAAAATACTTACCAATATTAGCAAAATGTTTCTTTTCTTGTATATTTGTAGATAGTTCAGACATGTCTCCATAAGCACGAGCAAACCGCCAAATAAACTCTACTTCATCTCTAAACTGGAAAGAAGAGACAGAACTGCACATCACATTAACACAGTAACTTGACCAGACTATAAATGTTTCTACTGCAACATTTTTAAAAAATTAGGCAGGTAAGCTGGTATTTATAGATGACTGAATCTATTCCTGTGCATATATCATTTTAAATTAAAATATGCATGGCTACGGAATGTGATTTAATATAGTGTTACATTTGGAACGTAACACCAACGAATACCATCCAGACACTAGTTCCACAGCTACACGGAAGAGAGAACTGACAGGTGCCAGAAGCCATACGTTCTCCTCGAGTTGCAGTGTCTTCCTCTCATTTACCTTCTAAGTTCTCTACTATCGATGTGATGCCTCAATGAGCATTTCATAGATCAGTAAATTATTACAGCGCACATACACTGAACTCAAAAAAGTAGTTTGTTTGTTTGTTTACCTCTGGTTCTCATTTTAAAATCTTAGAGCCTAAATCCTGGAGATTCAAAAACATTCTTTTAGACAATGTGTTTAGAGTTGTTAAATCCTCAAAGGTTAGTCTTGTTCGTGGCAAAGAAAGAGATTTCTTTGAGATATTACAAACCCTCGTTTTTGGTGGTGGTGGTGATTGTGACACTGGCCGAGATGGGCATTCCCAATTCTGCCCAACATTAAACACTGAAAAATGATGACTGATGGCTGTTGCCCTGGTCAGGTGGTTCGGTGGGTTGGAGCATCATCCTGTACACCAAAAAGGTTGCAGTTTCGATTCCTGTTCGGAGTGTTTACTGATCAATGTTTCTTTCTCACACTGATGTTTCTTTCTCTCTCCCTTTTTCTTTCTCTAAAATCAATAAATATATCCTCGGGTGAGGATTAAAAAAAAATACTGATGGCTCTTATATTAATAACTCTAAGTTAGACAACATAAAATGTAGCTTTTCTTCCCCTGCCCCAAGGGTAGTAGTGTGTCTTGTTATTTATGTTATAAAATATTTATTAAATATAACAAATTAATAAAAATCAAAGTAAATCTGTATACTCATATCTCTGGTTCTCATTTTATTTATTCATTCTGTTTGTTTGTTAATCCTCTCCCAAGGATATTTTTCCATTGATTTTTAGATAGAGTGGAAGGGAAGGAGGGAGAGAGAGAGAGAAACATCGATGTAAGAGACACACATTGATTGGTTGCCTCCCACATGACCCTGACCTGGGCTGGGGACAGAACCTGCAACCCAGGTACATGCCCTTGACTGGGAATTGAACCTGTGACCCTTCGGTCCCGGGGCAGATGCTCTAACTGCTGAGCCAAACCAGCCAGGGCTCTGGTTCTCATTTTAAAATCTTAGAGCCTAATAAATTATTATATATACTTTTTATTCAGTATTTTTATTCTATTTATTATTTTTTAAAATCCTCAACCAAGGATATGTTTATTGATGTTAGGGTGAGGGAGGGAGGCAGGAAGGGAAGGAGAGAGAGAGAGAGAGACAGACATCGATGTGAGAGAGAAACAGACTGGTTGCTTCCTGCACACGCCCCCCACCGGGTATCCAACCAGCAACCTGGGCATGTTCCCTGACTGGGAATCGAGCTCACCACCCTTCAGTGCATGGGATGATGCTCCAACCAACTGAGCCACACTGGCCAGGGCTCTTACATATATTTTTTAAAAATTTCAGTCACATTATAGAAAAATTTTGCATCATTCATTTAGCTTTTGTAAACTGTGACACAATTGTATGGTCACACTATGAATGGGATAGATTAAATAAAAAATGTAAACTATACAAATATGTTATTATATCTCTTACCTTCTCTTTGTAGTCATCAAGCAGTTCAAAACTCTCCGTCTTGCTCGTCTCTTTTGCACGTAAGTTGTCCGCCTTCCGAAGAAGGACATCTAAATTTAATTCCTCAGCATGTGTGTTAAGTGCTTTAGGGACTGGAAAACTCTGTTCTTCTGTGTCGGTACTAGCTGTAATATACCTAAAAATGTCAGAAATAACCATTACCTCTCTTGAAAGTTACACTATAATAGCCAGAGTGATCCTTTGAAAATGCAAGTCAAATCATCCCACCCTTATGCCTGCAACAGTGCCCCCCTTCGCTCAGAGGAGAGTTCCAGTCCTCACAACAGTTTACAGGGTCCTATGAGGTTTGTCTCCCGACCCGTACCACTTCTCTGACTTTCGTTCCTTACTACTTTTATCACTCATTCAACTCCACACTGGCAAACATGCTAGTCACACTCCTGCCTCAGGACCTTTGCTTGCTCTTCCTTCTGATGGAATGCTCTTCCCTCAGAGGAGCATTAACTCACATCCTCACCTCCTTCAGGTCTCAGCTCCAGTGTTGTCTTCTCAAGGTAGCCCATCCAGACCATTCTATTTATACTGCAACCTCCACACTCCAACCCATCCACATTCCCTTCACCCGATCTCCCTTATCAAGCTTGGCAATTCTTTTCTGCAGTATGTTTCACCTTCTAATATACCATCTTATTTACTAATCTACTACATGTGCTATTTTTGTCAGTATCACTCCCACTAGAGGGTGTGCTCCCTGACAATAGGATCCTTTATTTTATTAACTGATGTATCACATGCCTAGAACAGCACCTGGCACATTGGACATGCACTGAATATTGTTGAATGAATGATACAGAGCTGTAGGAACTCAGCAGGCACTCAAATACACATACACACACACACACACACACACACACACACACATTTAAAGTGCAAGATTATGCTCTCTTAGCTTTGTTTTTAAAAATTCATGCTACCTTCAACATTTTCTTTTCTTTTGGTGGCATACAAAAAACAATTTGTCTTCAAACCCTGTCCTGTTCTAAAAGGATTTTAAGGAGGTATGTAAGGATACATAACATATAAGAGAACTAACTAGAAGTAGTGAAAAGGCCAAATGTAACTGAGGCAATAAGAACATACATATACTTTAAATATCTATACTCTTGCTACAAGGGACACAAATGTCTGTATCTTTCAGCAGCCATGTAGTCACAGTCCCCAGCAGATACTAACAAAGATACAAGTTTTTGAAGGAAGTGCAACTCTTTCCAATACAAAATTAATTTATTTCAAAGTCCTTATAAAGAAGAAGACCCTGTGTGAAATGATATTACATTGCTCAACAACATTATTAACGGAAACTTTATTCTTCCAGTTGCCCAAATCAAACCACTTAGAATCACCCTTAACTCTCTTTTCTCTCCTAAGCAATATCCAGTCTGTTAGACATTCCTTTGGTTCTATCTTTAAAATACATCCAGAATATAGCCACCTTTCACCACCTCTACCTACTACAGCCCTGGCCTAATCCACCACCATCCATATGGATTATGGTAATGGCCGCCTATCGTATCTCCCTGCTTTAGTCCTTGACCCTTACAGCTTATTCTCAACACAGGAGCCAGAATGGTCTTTTTTTTTTTAAATCCTCACCCAAGGATATTTTTTCCATATATCTTTAGATAGAGTGGAGGAGGAAGAGGAGGAGGAGGAGGTGGAGGAGGAGGAGAGAGAGAGAGAGAGAGAGAGAGAGGGAGAGAGAGAGAGAGAAACATCGACGTGAGAGAGACACATTGACTGGTCACCTTCCATACAACCCCAACCAGGGCTGGGGACCAACCACAACCGAAGTACATGCCCTTGGCCGTAATCAAACCCGGGACTCTTTGGTCTGTGGGCCTACTCTCTAACCACTGAGCCAAACCGGCCAGGGCCAGAATGGTCTTTTTAAAACCGGATCATGTCACCCTTTGCTTAAAATCCTCCAATGCAGGGCCTCTGACCTCATCTGCCGCTCTCCTTGCTCAGAGCACTCCAGACGCTCTGGCTTCCTTGCTATTCCCTGAACACATCAATCATGTTCCTGCTTTAACATCTCTGTGTTTGCTGTTCCTTCTGCCTGGTATGTTCTTCCCTGGATATCCACATAATTTAATTCCTTGCCTGTTTCACATCCTTGTTCAAATGTAATGCAAACTTCCTTTATTGCAGATTATATGATTATTTACACAGAAAACATTTAAAACAAGTTATGAGACCAGTAGGAGAGCTTAGCAAGTTGGCTACATATAAGATTGACATATAAAAGTCAGTTTCATTTTTATATACTAGCAGCAAAAAACCTAAAAAGCATAATTAAATAAAATATCTCATTTATAATGATCTCAAAGAATATCAAGCACCCAGGAATAAATCTAATAAAAGATATGTGAAAATTCTATGGAGACTATTATAAAAGATGCATTGAAAGGTGTTTATAGACCTGGTCAGTTTGGCTCAGTAGTTAGAGCGTCGGCCTGCGGTCCAGAGAGACCCTGGTTCGGTTCCCGCTAAGGGCACGTACCTTGGTTGCCGTTTGTCCCTGGCCCTGGTTGGGTTGTGCGGGTGGCAGCCACTCCATGTGTTCCTTTCACGTCGATGTCTCTCTCTCTCTCTCTCTCCCTCCCACTCTATCTGAACAAAAAATGGGAGGGGGGGTGTTTATAAAAAGATCTAAATTCATGAAAAAAATATATCATGGTCATGGTTAGAAACACCCAATATTATAAATACGTAAATTCTCTCCAGCTTAATCTACAGATTCAATATAATCTCAATTTTATAAACCTAACAGGAATTTTCATGAAATTTAATAAGATGATTCTAAAAGTCATATGAAAAAGTAAAGAGCCTAGAATAGTCAAAGTCCACTTAAAGAAAGAGAACAGGGAGAGAAGATTTGCCTCACCAGATAGGAGGACCAATTATGAAGCTACAATAATTAAAGACAGTGTGCTATTGATACAGGATAAATGGATGAGTAATGGAATAGAAGAGAACCCAGAGACAGATCCATACATATATGGAAATGTGGTACATGACAGAGTCGGTATGTCAGATCTCATTCCAATCATGGATCAACTCAGTCATGGATTGAGCTGGAAAAAAATGGTTATCCCTATGAAAAAAAGATAAAATTGAATATCTACCTTATAATATTTAAAAATAACTCTAGGTGGTATAAGGAATTAAAATAATTGTTTAAACTCTAAGTAGAAAACAGGTCAGTATCTTTTATTTTTGGGGGTAAAAAATGTTCTTAACTGAGATACAAAAGCATAAACTATAAAAAAGTATTAATTATAACCTGGCTGGTGTAGCTCAGTGGATGGAATGTCATACCATGGACTGAGAGGTCTCAGTTTGATTCCTGGTCAGGGCACAAGCGAGGGTTGTGGGCTCCATCCCCAGTAGGGGGTGTGCAGGAGGCAGCCGATCAATGTCTCTCTCTCACAATGATGTTTCCATCTCTCTCTCCCTCTAAGAAAAGAAAAAAGAAAGAAAATCAATAGAAACATATTAAAAATGAATTATTATAAATGATTAATCAATTTGACTATATTAAAGTGAAAAACTGCTGCAATTGAAAAGATACTTTGAAAAATGCAAAAACAATTAAAAAAAACAGAAACTGATATTTTATAACACATCTAACTAGAGATCATTAATATTAAGAATACATAGCCCTGGATAGTTTGCTCAGTGGTTAGAGCATCAGCCCACGGACCAAAGAGTCTAGGGTTCGAGTCTGGCGAAGAGCATGTGTCTCCGTGTGGTTCGTCCCTGGCCCTGGTTGGGGTCATGCGGGTGCCAACCAATCGATGTGTCTCTCTCACATCGATGTTTCTCTCTCTCTTTCTCCCTCCCTCCTGCTCCATCTAAAGATGAACGGAAAAATATCCTGAGTGAGGATTAAAAAATAAATAAAAGGTCCTGGCCGGTTTGGTTCAGAGGTTAGAGCGTTGGCCCGCAGATCAGAGAGACCTGGTTTTGGTTCCCACTAAGGGCACGTACCTCTGTTGCAGTTTGTCCCTCGCCCTGGTTGGGGTGGTATGCCTGGCAACCAGTCAATGTTGCTCTTTCCCATAGATGTTTCCCTCTCTCTCTCTTCCCCCTCTCTCCCTCCCACTCTATCTGAAGATAAATGCAAAAAAAAACAAAAAAACAAAAACCCACAAAAATACTTTTTAAAAAAAGAATACATAAATATTTCCAAAATTCAGCAACAAAAACACAGTAAACTCCATATACTATGCTAAAAAAATATAGACTTTCTCAAATGAGAAAATACATATAGCCCATAAAGAGATGTTACATATAACCAAGAAAAACAGATAGCCGAGAAAAGATGTTAAACATTCACTAGTAATGAGAGAAATGCAAATAAAGACCACAAAAAGCCACTGTTCTACACTTTTTCATTTACGAAATTTAAGTCTAACAACACCAAATATTGGAGAGGAAGTTCATCCATAGGGTCAAATGTGCATGTAAATTGGTAAAACCAGTTGAAACAGTAGTTTGGCATTATCTTTTTTTTCTTTTTAATATGTATTTTTATTGGTTTTGTTTTGTTTTGTTTTTAGAGAGAGAGAAAGAGAAAAACCTTGATGCAAGAGTGGAACACCGATCAGCTGCCTCCTGCATGCCCCTTACTGGGGATCAAGCCTGCAACCCAGGCATGGGCCCTGACCAGGAATCAAACCTGCGACTTTCCAGTGCACGGTACAACACCCAACCAGCTTGGGCCACACCAGCTAGACCTGGCATTATCTTTTAATACTGAACTTTAACATCCCTGAGGGCCCAATAACCCAAGTCTCTCACACATATACAAAAAGAGATCTGTATGAGAATAGAGACAACAGTACTTTCACAGTAGCAAACACCAGAAAACAACCTAAATGCCAAACAAGAAAGTGAATGAACCACCAGTCAAGATGAACAAAATACAGAGATGTACACATACAAAATATAGAGGAGTATTAGATGGAAAAATAAGCTCCTAAAATGATATACAGTATGATCTCCTTTCTATAAAAACAATCAAAATTAAATGTTCTTTTAAGGAACACATACATGTAACAAAATTGTATAAAAAGGCAAATGAGGAATGAACAATATAGATTATAGATT